ACACACACACACACACACATACACATACACACACACATACACATACACACACATACACACACACACACACACACGCACGCACACACACACACACGCACTGACCACCCATCACACACCACCCCCATAGTCCACACGCTCACCACAACCACATGCCTCACTCACCGCCCAAAGCCTTCTCAGATGCACCACACCCTGCACCTTACTTGCTCGCACTCGCTCCGCTATCTTCTCAATGGGCAACCCCCTTTCAACTCCACTCAGGCCTAGGCGCAGCACGATATTGCCGCCCTTGCCCACTGCACACCGTCCGTGTGCACAGGCCACACGCTCACCACAAACACACCCCGCGTCGCGCACCCAGAGTCCTCTTGCCCCAGCCTCCTTGCTCGCACCCCACCCTACAGCTCCACCCACCTCAACTCGCTCCCCTCCCTTCTGCGGACGCACCTGTTGACACCTCTGTTGACCCCCTATTTACGCCCGTACTGACCCCGTTTTCGACGTGCACCCCCCCCCCCACCCACCGCGCCCCCAGGCCAAGGCGGAGCACGACATCGCCGCACTCCAGGAGAGCCAGGCCAAGAAGTCGGCCGGCCAGCAGGGCGCGTGATGCAGCGGCGCCTGCACTTCACTGGAGGCCTCCACCCACACTACGACGCCGCATGGCGCGACCCCGTGCCTCACACGCCCGTGCTCGATCGAGATCTTTGGGGGTGCATTGGAAGCCCAGGGGGCGCGGCTATCCGCTGTGCTGGCCCTGCCGTGCTCCGTACGAGCGCTGGACTCGAGACGCCAGTTCATTTGCGTTGCACGGCTGGCCGGAAGGCGGGCCCAGCAGTGTGTTTGATCCATGATTCGCTCTTCATGGCCCATCAGCAGTGCCGGGCTGTGGGCGGCGTAAACGTGTGTGACCGTGGCCTGTCGCCAAGCGCCCCTGCAGGTTGGCAGGCACAGCTGGGCTTCTGCTCGCTGCCTCTCAGCCCGGAATGCTGCGTTGTCCCACAATTTTTGCACGAGTATGCACACTCATCAGCAAGCGCCGCGTGCAGGGGATACGCCCTGAAGCGCGTGCCACAAACCCAGGGCTGCAGCACCGCAGGTTCACCTGCAATCCATACCTAAAAAAACAGCAAGCTTGCGAGATTGTCCCGCTCGTGCTCCTGCACCACCGGCCCGGTGGTGCAGGACGCTAAGCCGGGCTTAGCGTCGTGTCCTTGCTGTAATTGGCTGTCAACTGCCTTCAGGTGCAATCAAACGTTTCACTTCAGTCACCACACCTTTAAACGCAAAATGGCACGATTCCAAACAAAGTGAGCTGCATGCAATCGCAGACGAACAGCGTGAGTTGGTGCAAGTTCGTGCTGCTTGGTGGCTTAGTAAGGGGGGTTTCACAGCCCCTCAACAACGGCACACGCAAAGGACTTGCAATACGTTTGTACAGGTGCTTTGATTCTGTACAGCCAACCAATGTGCACAGGACACAGGACAGCCTGCAAAATCGCAAAAAATGCAGGCGCCGCCTGGGCCGGGGTTCTCAGCCGGGGTTCGTTTCGAAAGCATCAAGCAGCGCAGCAGCTGCCTGGGGCATCTGCAACATCCATGCAAGCCTGCAAGCGGTGCAGAAAGGCAATTATAATCAGTCACCTTTAGACACGGATATTTAATAGAAGAATCAAACAAGGTTTCAGTGCAAGTGACTCATTGCAAAACCAGCAGCACCCTGCAAAGCCCCCGCGCTGCCGGCGCCCTTTGCGCGAACATCCAGGCTCCATCCAGGGAGATTCACTCATCCAGATCACGCGCTGCCGAGCCTCGAGACAAAGGCATTCGTGAAACCCAGGGTCCCGGCCTGGTTGTACGAATTGCATGTGGCGTTTGCAGGCCCAACTGGGCAGTCCCTGTCGCGGTCAAACGACCAAAAGTGGACGCCCGCCAGGCCCTTAGTACTCGCGTAATCCGAGAGCGTGGTGACGTCAGCAAGTTTGAACACGTTGCTGACGACGTCGTTGCCGCCGATCATGGGGGTCAGGGCGATCCTGTTGAAGGGCACGCCATAGGCAGTGTTGAGGCTGTTGGCGGCAGAGGCGGCAGACGCGCCCATGTCGCACTGGTCGTCGGAGCCGAGGGTGCAGACGGACGAGCTGGGGCCGCCTGCGAGCGGTAGTTTGAGGGCAGGTGGATGGAGCGGCATCAGCGGTGGGTCGGCCCTTTTTTTGGGGTGCTGCTCGGCTGGGCAGATTGCATTCAATAGGGCAGGAGTGGTGTTGACTTACAAAAATTCAAGTTGTATGCCCATGCCAGGAGTGCATAATGGCCAGGTCCTCACAAGCAATAGCCCTGCAGCCCACAAAATGTGCGACTGCCAGCTTCAACACCGATAACAAAAAACCAGCCCGACACGAATGGAGGCATCTTCAGGCATGCTTTTATCCATGCACAAATTTGAACTTAATGAGGCTCATTACGTCCCCAATCAACATCAGCAGGCCCACCGTAGTCCATGACCATCAGATTGATGATGTAATTGGTGAGGCCTGCGGCGAGGACGGCCTTGACCACGGCGTCGCCCGTGATGCCGAGGTTGCTGGATGTGGTTGATGCGCCGAAGGTAGCTATCGTGAAGCTGCGCGGGGTGTGTGGCAAGGGGTAGCACGCAGAAGTTTGGTTGCAAGGGTGATTCATTCAAAGGTTTGCAGGGCCAACCCCGCTGTGCGCGGGTGGCAAGCCGTGCTATTTGATAATCTGGGTCAAAGCTGCTTGTCTGAGGACAATGCATGGAACATCACGCAGGTGGCGGGCAACAAACCAATGACCCGCCCCAATAAATTACAGCCCTTGCAATGTATCGTGCCTTTTCAGAAGCAGGCTTCAAAGCATGATATACACTTCTTAGCCTGCTGGCGCAGCAGGCACGCAGATCATGTGCGGGCTAAGCCACACAGGCGCAGACCTGAAGCTCAATTGTGGGTAGCTTGTGGCTGCCTCCTTGGTGCGTTTCACGATGGCGTCAATCTCTGCCTGGGAGTGGGCCGGCAGGCGTTGCGGTGGTCAGGAGTCGGCCGGGTGCGTGTGCGGGTGGCCTGTAGCCGGTGCACTGCAGCGGGGGGCCTGTGGCTGGTGCAGTGTTGGCTGCGACCAAAGTGCACGCAGCGGAATATGTCATGCGACACCTCTAGAATGCTGCAGCTGCCTGAAGCCTTGTTTGCGGGTTGCGTATCTCCCACCCTGCGGGCCACCATCCCTCATATGATCATACAACTACTGCAAAGTTTAGTTCCCCCATACCCACCTGCGTCTGCCCGACCTCGATGTCCCAGTCGATCCCGATCATATTTGCACTCATGTAGCGGCTGACAAATGCGATGAACCCCGCCGTGGTGCCGCACGTGAACTTCCCGGCGGACCCGCCCGTGCTGATCACGTACTTCTTCCCGGCGGTGACCAGCGCCTGCACGTTGGCGGCCGCGATCGACGACCCCTCGATGCCGGCCCACCGCTCGGCGCCGCACTCGCCCGTCGCGAACGCGAGGGTGACGGCGCCCAGGGCCGGGGGCATCGCGGCCAAGAGGGTCTGGAAGGTGCCAGTGACCTTTGTGCTCAGCTGGTAGGTGTTCCTGGTTAAGGACAATGCGAAGCATAGATACGCATATTCAACAGTGAGGGCCTGCTGCCGAGGACCTAGCAAAGCCCCATGACATGCACAACCTCATCACCACGCAGTTGAATCGCTCCTGAAGATCATGACAGAGACAAAACTGCCCGTAGGCGTCAAACACCAAGGTTTGAGCGGAAGACCAGACTCGTGGATTCGTGCCCCCCCTCCTTGAAAACCTGGAAGTGTGCAGGCAAAGCCTCGCCACGGCGCAAAACCTTAGGCGGAACACCCAGGCTGTCACAGGCAGGTTTCGAAAGTGTGGGCCCCTCACACCTCACCAGTTCAAGTCAATGCCAACGTCCTTGTAGGGGCTGAACAGCACACGCGGCGCACCACCACCTGTGCGTAATGCATCAAGCAGGTGAAAGCGGCAGTCAGTCCAGTGCAGCTGGACTAAAGCAACAGCTCTTGTATAAATACGTTGCGCGGGACAAGCCTCAGGATCGCAGGTCAGAACCAGGGCGCAGCTGCGGTACACTATTCCCATGCGTGTTACTTGAAACATGCAAGTAACACACAGCACAAATGCAGGCAGTGACCCATCAGGCTCAGACCCCCGCTCACTTAGTGGGGTGCATACACCGCCTTTGCACACCCCGCCACTGCTGCACGTGGTGCCGTCCGCCTTGTTGGTGCCATCGCCGCACACGCCTGTGGCGGAGTTGCAGGCGCCCACGATGCGGCACACCCCTCCCGCAGGGCAGCTGCCGCCGGTACACTGGGCAGCTGTGAGGGCGCCGGGTTCCGTTGGAGGACGATGCGGGTGGGAGCTAGTCAAGACTTCAGTCATCTGGAGGATTGAAATGGCTGAACAATGAGTGTTTCGCTGGGTCTGAGTGGCAAGTATGTGCGAGGCAGGTGCCAGTGGCCGGCCGGGCGCAAAAGCCGTGATTGTTTTGTGCAATCAATCAGATGCGCAGCTGGCAATCTCATTAACTGCTGATGCTGCATTAACTGCTGCTGTTGCTCGTGCTGCCCTCACTCATATTGTCAGATGTGCAAGTGACATCGTTTGTTGTCAAAAAGTACTATTTGCCAGTGCGTAAACTCACCGCAGGTTCTGCCGTTGCCGGCAAAACCGGCGTTGCATTTGCACTTGACTCCGGAACCCGAGACACTGCAAGCTGCGTCGAGGCTGCAGCCACCGTTGCCAGTCAAGCAGGGGTCTGCAAGAGGGATTGAGGTGCATGTAGACTGCGCGTGGGTGCGGACCGCTGGATCAAAAAGTGGCCCACGAGGCTTCCGCACTCTGCCTAGATCATGGTGAGTGTCCTGCTTAGTTGAGCAGGTTTCAGCAATCGATGCTGGCAGGGCATCAGCAAGAAATCCCTCGTTCTACATGAATACGACATGAAGAATGGCATGCAATTGTGACACCCATCAAGCAAGCAGTCCCCGTGCCTGCACCCAACCAAACTCACTTGCGCAGGCGCCGCCGCTGCACGTGCCGCCGCTGCAGCGCGTGCCGTCTGCTTTGTTGGTTGGGGCGCTGCAGACGCCCGTGGCTCGGGCGCACTTCCCCTTGATCTGACAAGGCCCTGCCGCCGGGCAGGTCACCTTGTTTGCGGCGCACAGATCTGGTTGTTACCGACAAGCAAGGATAAGAGGAGCGGATGGCTTGCGCGAGCCTCAGCTGAGCTTGAGGCACAAACACTCCAGCAGCTGCTGCAAGCAGCAACAACGAGTTGCTGGAACGCGTACCACCACCGGCCCACCGGCAGCCGCGTGGGAGATGCAGGAAGTGCTGAGTGCGTAGGATTCAGGGGTCATGCCGCATGCCTCACCTGTGCACACTCCACTTTTGCAGGACCCTTTTGAGCAGGGCGCGCCGTCATTCAGGTTTGTGTCCGCGCTGCACTTGCCAGTGGTGGGGTCACAGGTGCCTGCCCGTGTGTCGTCGCGTGCATGTGGGTTTGTGCGTGTTTGTGAATGCGGGAATGCGTCTGGAGCATGCCTGCTGTGCGTGCGGCATGCGCGCCAAAGCCCACCCCTCCAACCTTGAGTGTGGCCACCCAGCTCCGGGTTTCCTTTGCACATGCAGAACTGGGGCCTTCATTGCCCCTTTACTGCACAGAAGAGTGGGGCAGTTGACAGTTCGCAATACCCACCACGTTCAGAGCTGCCCCTACCTGCAGCCTTGCAGGTCTTGGCTTTGCAAGTGACCCTTTTCTTCACGCACATGTCTGCAAGATGGGGCAAGGCACATGGAGTGTCTGTGTCACATGGGGAGTGCCGGCGGGTTCTTGGTGAGTCGCTGGTCTGGCTCTTGCTGGTGCTTAAAATTGCAGCCATGGACTGTAGCAGTGACGCCCCAAGCTATCCCGCACACTTAGTCCAAGTGCATACCTTGTCCTGATGATACAGTGCACTGCACATTGCGCTGCTGCAGCGCAGACGGAGGTCAAAACGCACCACACCTGTACAATTGCCCTTGCTGCACACGCCGCCGGCGCAGACTGTGCCGTCAGCTGCGCCGGCGCAGTTGGCAACGGCGAGCACCGCGCGGCCACGACAGTGCAGGGCATCCCCATTGGCTGGTGCGGCACCGGCAGCCAGGAGCGCCAGGCACAGGCCCAACAAAAGCAGGGGCAGGGGGCGACCACCCGGCCGCGTCGCCGCGCCCAGGGCGGCCATGACAGTGCACGCAATGGACCGGTGCTTGCGGGCCGCGTTAGCTAGTCTGCCGAGCTCAGGGGTTGATGGTGTCAGAGTGATTTGGGCCTCTGGGGGTGGGCGGCGGGGACGGGCACGTGGGCGTGAACGAGGGCGGGAAGTGACCCGTGGAAGGACAAGTGCCGAGCTTGCCGCCAGCACATCGCCCGCCCGCCTGGTTGGCTGTAACCGTGATTTATATTGGGTGAATAGTGTGCCTCAACAAATCTGTGTTTTTGCATACTTGGCGTCGATCAGAGGGCAGGGCGCGGGGCGCTGCACCTCCCAGACAATGCGATGCGCCAGCCAGCAATGCATGGGAACGGCACGCGTCGCTTCGCTTGGACGGGCGCATGTGGGGGCTAGCGCTTCTACGTGGAATTGTCGGTATCTCGATACCGGTACTGTGGGGTGCACTCGATTTACCTGTGGCTACAGGGGCCAGGTCGATGGAGATGTCCGAAAGGACGCGGCACATGCGAGAGTCCTTTTGTAACACGATGTAGAAGAGATCCGTCATATCATGGAAGAGCTGTATGTTGTCTTGAGCGCATCTGTCCAGGGCGGCAATCACGGCACGCCCACGGAACGCGGCACCGTCCGGCGGTGACGCCACGGCGCAGCACCACTTCGCCACGAGTTCCGCAAATGCTATGGCGGTCTGAATCAGTGCACCATACATCACCACTGTGATAAATTGTATGCATCCTGCGAAGTGCTTCACTGCATATTGCGATCGCCGCAGCAGATTCGCGCTGCACGGCCCAGCGCCCCGGTCTGCACTTGTCGCAGGCGGCATCTGTCGATTTGTCGTGAGCTCAACGTGCTGGCTGCACTGCCGGCTTGCTGCTGGCTTGTTGCAAAAAAAGTCTGCAAAAAGGGTCGCAGTATGGCTGCATAAGGTTTCCTAACAATAACCAAGTTTCACACCACAGCGCGATGTTCAGCCCCTCGCTCTCACCCCAACTGGCACATGCATTGACACCTCACCAAGCCGATCCAATTTTTTTGGGCACCCTGTTGCAGGCCCCGCCCCTTTCCTTTGTACACTCCTGATCAGGCCCGCATGTGCCTGCTGCTTGACATCTATCGCTGCTGCTCCTTCCACACCTCAATCTGGGGTTTTGGGCGGCTGGGACCAATAGTGCCGCCTGCTGATGTCAACACACGCGCGCGTCCACGTCTGTTGTGCAATCGCTTCCAAAAATGCAGGGCAGCGCCAGGCTGGTTACGCTTGGGCCCGCACGCTCGGGCAGTCGCAGCCGCCCAGACCCCGAATCACAGCCGTCAACAAGGCTGACGGCGCCACCCTTGGCCTTGTTGATACACCCATAGATGAGGACAGGATACATCATGTATACAATCTCGGCCGCAAACCGCCGGCCACGCGCCGCCCACGCCAGGCGCTAGCCAGGCCGGCGCTCAGCAGTCCACCACCACTACCCCTGACCCCAGGCCGCCGCCGCCGTCGCCGCCGCCGTCCCCGGTCGCCACAAGCCGCACCGGACCCTGAAGCCACGCCCTCAGCGTGCCGCCGCCGCCCGCGTCAGCGGCCCCGCCGCTGGCCGCGAGCCCCGAGCCGCCCGGCGCCCCCTGCTGCCGCGGCCCCGCCGCTGCCGCGGCCGCCGCCGCTGCCAGGTTGTTCTGAGTCACCAGATTCAGCAGCGCGACAAAAACGCGCTGCGGCGCCGGCGCCATCGCCGCCGTCGGCGCCTCGCC